ACCTGGAAGCCTCTATGCTTGACAATTTTATCTAAGTGTTTTATAGATAAAGGGGACATAACTCTTTGTTTTCTCTCTCGGTTTTGGTTTTGAGTTGGAGACGGTTTCTCTGTAGCTTTGGAGTCTGTCCTGGAACTCTGACCTCGAACACAGGCTTGCTCCTGCCTCCTGAGTGCTGGGATTAAAGGTGTGCGCCACTGTACCTGGCTTTTTTTTTCTTCTAAATTGCCTAGGCCAGCCTTGAACTCCCACTGTATCCCAGCAGACCATGAAGTTGTAATCCTCCTGCCTCAATCAGGTAACTGAGATTACAGGCCAGTGTCAGCAGCCCAGACACTTCACACACACACACACACACACACACACACTTATGTGTGTGTGTGCGCGTGTGCATATGATCGCAGGTGTCGGAGGAGGTCAGAAGGAGGTGTTGGCTCCTTTGGAGCTATAGCTAGAGATATGAACTGGGTCCCCCGTAAAAGCAGTAAGCACCGTTACTGGATAAACCTGGGTTACATGTGTTCACACCCGCATAGACACTGTTCACAGTCAGTGCTTGGGATTCTGTCTCAGACATCAGGTTCTGTCTCTCCGGCCCTCCCATGTGGCTCACTCTAATCCACAGCGGCTTGGAATTGACTGGAGCCCAAGATGGCCTCGGAATTGCAGCAGTCTTCCTGCCTCCACCTCCCAAATGCTGGGACTGCAGGAATGAGCCGCCATCTTACTTCCGGATTGTTTCTGTCTTCAAAAGAAGTAGTGACCCCAAGTTTCGGCTGAGTAGATGACCGTTCTGCTGCATCCCTCCCTGCTCCCACTCCGGAGAAAAGGGTCTCCAGAGACTCCAGACAAAAGACGTCAGAACTAAACACAGCATTGCTCCTTCCGAGCTCAGCCTGCAGACTTCCAGAAGGAAGGGTCTGAATCTGTCTCTAGTCCTGTCTTTTCTCCGGCTGCTGCCTCACAGCTATGGCCTTCTCTCATGCGAGCCGGTACCTTCAACCTCTGATCTAAGATCGGCCATTGGCCGGGCGATGGTGGCACACGCTTTTAATCCCAGCACTCGGGAGGCAGAGGCAGGCGGATCTCTGTGAGTTCGAGACCAGCCTGGTCTACAGAGCTAGTTCCAGGACAGGCTCCAAAGCCACAGAGAAACCCTGTCTTAAAAAAACAAACAAACAAACAAAAAATAAGATCGGCCATTCTGACTGAGCAAGGGTTTCCGCGGGGATAGAAGCTAGGGGGTCAGGGGAGCCAGCTGCTCACAGGTGTGGAAATGAAATGATTACCTAGGCCTGGTTTCCTGCTCTTGGGAGAATGAGATTGCGTTGCTGTCTCTATTGCAACACAAGCCACAGACCTCTTTGTTTACACGGACATGGCCTCTACACACCCTATGACCTCACTTTATATTTTAGAGTACTACAGTTTAGGACAGTCCCTCTTTACAGGGACCAGTTTCTCCTATGTCTGCTGACCTCTGGTGGTGAGATTTTGAATTGTAGGCTCCTTTCACAGTTGTAGCCTGTTGACAAATGCTTGTACACACTTTTCAGCAATCCAAATTCAGATATCGAAATATGGTAAACAGGGAGCTGGAGCGATGGTTCCCAGTTAAGAGCACTGCTTGCTCTAGCAAGGGTCCTGAGTTCAATTCCCAGCAATCACCTGGTGGCTTACAACCATTTATAATGAGATATGGTGCCCTCTTCTGGTCTACAGCTATACATGCAGGCAGAACACTATAATAAATAGTGGTTTTTATTTATTTATTGATTTTGTTGAAAAAATTTCTCGGGGCTGGAGAGATGGCTCAGTGGTTAAGAGCATTGCCTGCTCTTCCAAAGGTCCTGAGTTCAATTCCCAGCAACCACATGGTGGCTCACAACCATCTGTGATGAGGTCTGGTGCCCTCTTCTGGCCTGCAGACATACACACAGACAGAATATTGTATGCATAATAAATAAATAAATATTAAAAAAAAGAAAAAAAAACTTCTGCCTCCTCCCCGCCTCCCATTTCTCTCCCCCTCCTTCCACTCCTCTCCCCCTCCCCCTGTGGTTTTTTTTTTTATTTTGGTTTTTCAAGACTGGGTTTCTCTGTAGCTTTGGATAAATATTTTTTTAAAAAAGTAAAGAAATATTGTAAACAGTGTAAATATTTATTTTTGATACATAGTCTACATAGCCATGGTTGTCCTGGAACTTGCCAGGTAGACCAGGCTGACCTTGAACTCACAGAGATTCACCTGCCTCTGCGTCCTGAGTGCTGGGACCAAAGTGTGTGCCATCATGCCCAAAATGGAAACATTTCTTCAGTTCCTGAAGTTTGGATTTGTTTTAAGGCAACATTGTATAATACAGAGAACAAAGCCCATGCTTTGGAGTCATGCATACCTAGGTTCAAATCTCAGCTCTGCTTTACGTTTAATTTTTTTTTTACATCAGAGTGACCACAGACAGCTCATTTATCCTGAATTTTCTTTTCTCTCTCTTTCTTTCTTTTCTTTCTTTCTGTTTTTTATTTTTATTTTTTGACAGGGTTTCTTGGTAGCTTTGGATCCTGTCCTGGAATTAGCTCTTGTAGACCAGGTTGGCCTCGAACTCACAGAGATCTGCCTGCCTCTGCCTCCCAAGTACTGGGATTAAAAATGTGTGCTACTACTGCCTGGCTCTATCCTGGATTTTCTTTTTTTTGGGGGGGGGGGTTTGAGACAGGGTTTCTCTGTGGTTTTGGAGCCTGTCCTGGAACTAGCTCTTTTTTTTTTTTTTTTTTTTTTTTTTTTTTGGTTTTTCGAGACAGGGTTTCTCTGTGGTTTTGGAGCCTGTCCTGGAACTAGCTCTTGTAGACCAGGTTGGTCTCGAACTCACAGAGATCCGCCTGCCTCTGCCTCCCAAGTGCTGGGATTAAAGGCGTGCGCCACCACCGCCCGGCTTGGAACTAGCTCTTGTAGACCAGGCTGGTCTCGAACTCACAGAGATCCGCCTGCCTCTGCCTCCCAAGTGCTGGGATTAAAGGCGTGCGCCACCACCGCCCGGCTTATCCTGGATTTTCTTATCTATAAAGTAGAGATAATAATATCTCAAGAAAAAATTAGACAATTTGAAACAGCTCTGGCTGTTTCTACAATATAGTAGATGCTCAATAAAAATTATTTTCTTGGGGCTGTAGAGATGGCTCAGAGGTTAAGAGCATTGCCTGCTCTTCCAAAGGTCCTGAGTTCAATTCCCAGCAACCACATGGTGGATCACAACCATCTGTGATGAGGTCTGGTGCCCTCTTCGGGCCTTCAGGCATACACACAGAGAGAATATTGTATACGTAATAAATCAATAAATATTTTTAAAAAATTATTTTCTCAATGACGGTAATTTCCTTAGTGTTTGACTCCTTGGGAGTGTGTGCATGTGTGTGATTTGTACTGTGTATATAGGCAACTGCTGTGTTATTTCGGCTGCTGCTGTGTTAGCTGTTTTCTCTTTTCATTATGGCAAAATATACAACAAAATTACCATTCTCACCATTTCTCTCTCTTCCTCCTCCTCTTCTGTCTTCTTCTTCTGAGACAGGATCTCCGGCTGTCCTGGAACTGTGTACACCAGACTGGCTCAGACTCATAGAGCCACCTGACTCTGCCTCCCTAGTACTGGGATTCTAACCATTTTCAATTTTGTTTTGTTTTTGTATTTGTTTTTTGAGACAGGGTTTCTCTGTGTAACAGCTCTGGCTGTCCTGGAACTAGCTCTTGTAGACCAAGCTGGCCTCGAACTCAGAGATCTGCCTGCCTCTGCCTCCCAGGTGCTGGGATTAAAGGTGTGCGCCACCACTGCCTGGGTACCATTTTCCAGTTTAAAGCTTTATTTCGGGGGCTGTGGTGTTGGCTCAGCAGTTAGAGCAATTCTCTTATTTCATCTACCTGGGTGTTTGGGCTGCATGTCTGTCTGTGTCCCACATGCACCACCTCCACGGCCTGGTGTCCATGGAGGACAGAAGAGGGTGTCAGGTCTTCTGGAACTAGAGGTGCAGCTCTGGGCGCGGGAACCAAACTCATGTCTCCTGCTAGAGTGGGAAGTACTTTTGAACACTGTACCATCTCACACACCCTACAATGTGCCCGCTGTCCCATCTCACACACCCTACAATGTACCCGCTGTACCATCTCACACACCCTACGATGTACCCGCTGTGCCATCTCACTCACTCCACGATGTGATTTTTTTATGTTTTTTTGTTTTTAGAGACAGAGTTTCTCTGTGTCAACCTCTGCCTCCCGAGTGCTGGGATTAAAGGCATGTGCCCTGCCTGTGATTTAAAGAAAAAAGCAAACACAAAAAAACTGAAAATTTTTATATTTTTCCTGATTCTTTTGTTTGGGGATTTTTTGTTTGTTTGCTTTATGAGACAGGGTTTCTCTGTAGCTTTTGGAGCCTGTCCTGGAACTAGCTCTGTAGACCAGACTGGCCTCAAACACACAGAGATCCGCCTGCCTCTGCCTCCTTAGTGCTGAGTGTGTCACCACTGCCCGGCTTCCTTTCTGACTCTCCAGTTGGGAAAATGAGATCCACTGAAGTGTGAGCTGCAGAGTCTTCCTCTGTTCAGAATACGGCAGATCTGAGCTCTCAATAATGGGTCAGGAAGGATTTTGGGCAGAGCCAAGTGACTCTAAACATTTGATATCTGTCTGAGAAAGGCTGAAAGTCCAGCACCTTTTTCCAAGGTCAGCAAAGGGTAGAGATTTTGAAGTTAGTTATCACAGGGTTCTCAGCCAGGCAGCCAAGGTTCCTTCCTCCCACTCTGCAGAGAAAAGAGGAGGTGGTTGAAGAAAGGATATGAGATTGGTTCTCTGCTCCTCCCTTTCTCTCCCTGTTTTCTCCCCAACAGCAGTCTTCTCCCCCACGGAGACTGGGATAGGACAAGGGGGGCGGAGTTGGGGATTGAGGGTTTGGAAGCCCTACAGTGCCCTGTATCTGTAGAAAGCCTTGGCTGGGTTAGCTGTGCTGGCTTATTCTGTCTGGCTGCCATCCTTTAGCAGGATGCTGGGGACACTGGGGCTTTGGACTCTGCTTCCTGCAGTTGCACAAGGTAAGTGTCTACTGATAGGGCAGGGTCTTTCCACCGCCCGAGAAGGGGAAAGGTGTAGTGGAAGCAGAGCTACCCGTTTGGAAGAAGAAGAGATGAGTGGGCTGTATGAGTGAAGATGAGGGCAGAGCCACCTGTTCCCATGGTGGGGATCAGGCCTCTGCCATACTGGCCCTGGGGTCCTCTTTTGTTTATCCCTTTGGCTGCTGTTTGTCCCTGACTTTACTCCCTTCTTGACTCCCCTTTCTTCACCTTGGACTTCAGTGTCCCCAAACAGGAGGACATGTGTGTTCTTTGAGGCTCCTGGAGTAAGGGGAAGCACAAAGACACTGGGGGAAGTGCTAGATGCAAGACCAGGGACCCCCAAGAGTATCCGCTGCCTCTATAGTCACTGCTGCTTTGGCATCTGGAATCTGACTCATGGCCGGGCACACGTGGAGATGCAAGGTGAATGGCAAAATATACGGTCGGTGAGAGCTAGGTAGGGGAGAGGCACGTCTGGGTTGAGGGAGCAGTGGACTGTGTAGAGGGAAAAAGCATGTCAGATGGAAGGGGTGCCTCTGATGGAGAAGGGATTTGTTCTCTGCCCCCAAGTCTCATTGTATTCTCACTCCCTTTTCTCCTTCCCCTAATCCCATCCCATTAGGATGTCGAGACAGTGATGAGCCAGGCTGTGAGTCCCTGCACTGTGACCCAATCCCCCGAGCCCACCCCCGCTTGGGCTCTACTCTCTTCACATGCTCCTGTGGAACTGACTTCTGTAATGCCAATTACAGCCATCTGCCTCCTTCAGGGGACCCAGGGGCTCCTGGCCCCCAGGATCCCCAGTCTACCTCAGGTAGCTGCCTTTCCCAGGGTACTAGAGCCCAGAAGGGGCAGGAGCATAAGTCAAGACAAGAAGAGAACCAGGGCAGTTCTCAGCCCACCCCCACCCAAAGATTCCCTCCTCCTGGCCTTGGGAAGTTGGTTGCCCTGGTGACTGGGAGATAAGGGGACTTGTGACCCCGTGGGGGTGGTTTGGAAAGCAGAAGAGAGAGGTTCAGTGCTCACCGACGTGTCCTCTTCCCTTGCTGTCCAGGTGGGCCCGTCTGGATGGCACTGCTGCTGCTGGGGATGTTCCTCGCGCTGCTGATGTGTAGCGTCATCCTGGGTACTAATCTCTCCCACCCCTCGCGGCTCTGCTGAACCCCCGGTTCTGGATCTCTGTAGCCCCACATTTCCTTGTATGAAGCTCTCTTCCCACATAGCCCACTTGGCTGCCCCCATCCTGTGCATCCTACCCTAAGGCTCTTTTCTGCTTCAGCCCTGCTACAACGAAAGACCTGCGGAGAGCACGGTGGGTCAGACCCCGAGCCAGGCGCAGGCAGAGACTGTGGAGACTGTGAGGAACTGCCCGAGCTGGCTGAGCTGTGCTTCTCCCAGGTGCTTCAGGGCAGGAGTGGGGCCCCTGGTACTCCTGGAGGTTCTGCTGGGGGTGGGGGCGGGTAACTTGGCTCTGATGTTATCTCAGAGGTCCACACTCAGTGCAGTGCTTCCACCAGGTGATCCAAGAAGGAGGGCATGCAGTCGTCTGGGCCGGGAGGCTTCAGGGTAAGATGGTAGCCATCAAGGCCTTTCCCCCAAGGGCTGTGGCCCAGTTCCGAGCTGAGCGAGCTGTGTACCAGCTGCCGGGCCTACAACACGACCACATCGTGCGCTTTATCACGGCTGGCCAGGGGAGCCCTGGCCCTCTGCCATCTGTGCCTTTGCTGGTTCTGGAACTGTATCCTAAGGTGAGCACCCTGAAACGTCCGCGATGTGCACCGTGCCTGTGTGTGCTCATGGAAGTGACCTGCTACGTAGTTCCTCACCCATGCCTGCTCGCCTGCTTCACACTCTCCTTAGAACAACTGTTTTCAGCCAGGTGATGGTGGCGCACGCCTTTAATCCCAGCACTCGGGAGGCAGAGGCAGGTGGATCTCTGTGAGTTCGAGATCAGCCTGGTCTACAGAGCTAGTTCCAGGACAGGCTCCAAAGCCACAAAGAAACCCTGTCTTGAAAATCCAAAAAAAAAAAAAAAAAAAAAAAGAAAAAGAAAAACAAAACAAACAAAAAATAACAACTGTTTTCTTTTTTTGGCTTTTTGAGACAGTTTCTCTGTGTCTCTGGTTGTCCTGCAACTTGTTCTGTACAGCAGGCTAGCCTCACATTTATAGAGATCTGCTTGCTCCTCTGCCTCCTGGGATTAAAGGTGTGCACCACCACTGTCCAGCGAGCACTGAGTCGTTGTTAAATACATATCCAGGCATAGCTGTCTAATGCGGTCATCTGTTCCTTTAACCAGTGTTATAAACAATAAGGCAAACGCTGCTAGATGCTCAAAAAGCACACCTGGCCCCTAATTGTACAGACTTTATAGACTAACGAACAGGTCGTAGGAATGGGTAAACACAGAAAGAAGTGTCGAGTGTGTTAGAAGCAAACAGAAAGGGCATTGGATACCACAAAGAAATAATAATAAGCCAGGTGGTGGTGGCACATCCTTTTAATCTCAGCACTTGGGAGGCAGAGGCAGTTCGAGGCCATCCTGGTTTACAGAGCAAGATCCAGGACAGCCAGGGCTACACAAAGAAACCCTGTCTCCGGGCTGGAGAGATGGCTCAGCTGTTAAGAGCATTGCCTGCTCTTCCCAAGGTCCTGAGTTCAATTCCCAGCAACCACATGGTGGCTCACAACCATCTGTAATGAGGTTTGGTGCCCTCTTCTGGCCTGCAGGCATACACACATAATAAATAAAAAGAAAAAAAAAGAAACCCTGTCTTAAGAAAACAAAAAGAGGACTGGAAAGAAGAGCACTGGCTGCTCTTCAAGAGGTTCTGAGTTCCATTCCCAGCATTCCATAGTGCACATCCATAGTGAGATCTGGTGTCCTCTTCTGGTAGGCAGAATGCTGCATACATTATAAATAAATATTTAAAAGAAAGAAAAAATAATAAGATTTGACATGAGGGGAGGGGATGGCTCAGCTGTAAAGATTCTTGTTGTGCAAGCCTTGGGGACTAAGTTCAGTGAAGGTGGAAGGAGAGAACGCCCTCCACACATGCAAAGACTACCCCTTCCTATAACAACAACAACAATACAACATTATAGTTGTTTTACCCATGTGTGTGCCTGGTGCCTGTGAAAGCTGGGAGAGAGAGCAGTGCTGGAGTTTCAGATGAGCTGCTGTGTGGGTGCTGGAGACTCAACCCCAATCCTCTGGAAGGGCAGGCAGTGTAACTGCTGAGCCGTTGCTCCAGTCCCTTAGACTTTTTTTTTTTTTTTTTTTTTTTTTTTTTTTTTTTGTGGTTTTTCGAGACAGGGTTTCTCTGTGGTTTTGGAGCCTGTCCCGGAACTAGCTCTTGTAGACCAGGCTGGTCTCGAACTCACAGAGATCCGCCTGCCTCTGCCTCCCGAGTGCTGGGATTAAAGGCGTGCGCCACCACCGCCCGGCCTCCCTTAGACTTTTTTAATGAAAAGAAAGGATGAGCCAGGCAGTCGCCAGTACTGCAGTCATGACGGCTTTACAGCCATGGCATCGGTTTACTGTTACATTGTGGCACTTACTGTCATCATGATCACCTCTTCCTGAGTCACAGTGCTGCCTGGGCAAAGTTGCTGGCACACCCAAAGGTGCTCACCATGTAACGAGTGGCCTGGTCCCAGTTGTTCCTCCATTAGCTCTACCCACCCATGTCTATGCAGGCCTGATCCTCCAGGCCAGGACGGCCTGGACTACCTTTGTCCTGAATCCTCTGAGTCAGCATGTGATAGTGACTCTTGAGTCACACTGCTTGGATGCAAACTCCACTCCTGTTCCTTGCTTGACCTCTGACCAGGTGTGGTAGCTTGTGCCTACACTGCTGGCACGCAGGAGGATCATGGCTAGCTTGATGGCAGCCATACCCTAATGACTCCCATGTCAGCCCAGGTTACAGACATACATAGTGAGGCCCTCCCTAAAACACTGGGGGTGGGGCACGGAAAGAAAGAAGGTAAAAGGTCCAGCAAGATGGTTCAGTAGGTAAAGGTGCTTCCATGGAACCTGCAGACCTGGTTCAGTCCCTGGAACCCATGTGGACCAACTATAGCATGCTGTCTTCTGCCCCCACATGTACCGTGTGGGTACCCACACACGAGAGGGGAAATCAGAGTGATCAGAACCCCGTCACACTGCAGTCCACATGGGGACTACAGGAAACCCTGTTTGGAGGGCTCGCATCACAGTAAACACTCAGTACCACTACTTCCTCCCCCACAACTCCCCCTCCCCCGCTTCCTGCTTCAACCTCTTGAGTGCTGAGATTACAAGCATATGCTACCATATCTAGCTAAAATTATTATTATTTATTATATTTTTTTTTTGGTTTTTCAAGACAGAGTTTCTCTGTGGTTTTGGAGCCTGTCCTGGAACTATCTCTTGTAGACCAGGCTGGTCTCGAACTCACAGAGATCCGCCTGCCTCTGCCTCCCAAGTGCTGGGATTAAAGGCGTGTGCCACCACCGCCCGGCAAAAATTATTATTTTTTATTTGTGTGTGTATGTGTGAGTGAGTGCATGCTTGTGTGTGTGTGCGTGTGTGTATGTACGTGCATTTTCAGGCAGGGTCTCCTGTAACCCACCCTGGCCTGCCTGTTCCTGAGCCACCTCCTTCCGTTTTCCCAGTGCTGGGATGGCAGGCATGCAGTATCACAGCCAACTATAATTACTATTTTTTTCCTGTCACTTTGACTAATGCATTTTCTTAGGCCTTGATTGTCTGTGGTGTCTTGACCTGGTTCTGCCAGGGTGTCTCTATCTGCTGGGGAGGTGTAGGCTGGTGTGTGCGGGGTCTGACCCTAGGATGATCTTCCCTATCCATGTGCCCGGCTCTTCCCTCTGCTTTTCTCCAGGGTTCCCTGTGCCACTACTTGACTCAGTACACCAGTGACTGGGGAAGTTCCTTGAGGATGGCTCTGTCCCTGGCTGAGGGCCTGGCATTTCTCCATGAGGAGCGCTGGCAGGATGGTAAGTGAGCCAGCAGCAGGGAGGCAGGAGCCACATCATTGTGTCCAGTTCTGTCTTCTCAGGAAAACCAGATGACCTGTGTTTCTTAAACCTTGGATTTCTCCACAGGTCAATATAAACCAGGTATTGCCCACCGAGACTTGAGCAGCCAGAATGTGCTCGTTCGGGAAGATAGGTCATGTGCCATTGGCGACTTGGGCCTTGCTTTGGTGCTCCCTGGCCTTGCCCAGCCCCCTGCCTCAGGCCCTACTCAACCCAGAGGCCCAGCTGTCATTTTGGAGGTGAGTGTTTTTTAATAAGTGTGAGGCTTGGGATGATGGTGGTGCTGATGAGCATATAACCATTGCTGTGGCAACGCTGTAGTTTTGCTAGCGGTCGGGCCGTGGACCAGCGCTGCAGGGCAGGTTTCCGTAGAGGTGATTCTGGCCCTTACATCTGGACCAGCGCTGCAGGGCAGGTTTCCGTGGAGGTGATTCTGGCCCTTACATCTGGACCAGCGCTGCAGGGCAGGTTTCCGTGGAGGTGATTCTGGCCCTTACATCTGGACCAGCGCTGCAGGGCAGGTTTCCGTGGAGGTGATTCTGGTCCATACATCTTCTCCAGGCTGGCACCCAGAGGTACATGGCTCCGGAGCTCTTGGACAGGACTCTCGACCTACAGGACTGGGGCACAGCCCTTCAGAGAGCAGATATTTACTCCCTAGCTCTGCTCTTGTGGGAGATCCTGAGCCGCTGTTCTGATCTGAGGCCTGGTAAAGTCTGCACCCCCAGTGTCCCTCCTACCTCCTAGCCCGACTGTATAAGGCTATGGCCTCCCCTAGTTTTTCTACCTGGGAGCCCCTAACCATGGTGGGTGAACATAATGCCTATGCTTTCCCAGACCGCAGACCACCACCTTTTCAACTGGCCTATGAGGCGGAACTGGGCAGCAATCCCAGTGCCTGTGAGCTCTGGGCCTTGGCAGTAGAGGAGAGGCGGCGCCCCCGCATCCCATCCACCTGGAGCTGCCCCACCACAGTAAGAAGCACAGGCTCCGCAGACGGGACTCGGAAGGGGCTGGCTATGCATTTCAGGGGCTTCTCTGCTGTATTTGCCCTCTGTTTGCCTTGTCTTCTCTACGTCTCACACAACTGGTTCCACCCACCTGGGCCATACACCCTCCTGTGGAGCCTTTTATATTGCCACCCCCTGACTCCGTTCGTTAGCTCTCCTTCAGTGTCCTCCTCTAGGAAGTCGTCTCCGGCCTTTCTCCCTCTCGGAGCTCTGCCCCTGTGACAGTGTCTCTTTCAGTACTGTGGGCCCCCAAATTCAATCCAGTGCCCCGTCGTTTTGTACTATACAGCTGTATTTCTGCTGTGGACCAATTAAAGCTAGTTCTGGGTAGAACAGGGTTCTAGGCACGATGGGTCTCGTTCTAGGTGTGACCAGGTTCTAGGTATGGCCGGGCTCTAGGTGTGACCGGGTTCTCGGTGTGACCGGGTTCTCCGTGTGACCGGGTTCTAGGTGTGACTGGGTTCTAGGTATGGCCGGGCTCTAGGTGTGACCAGGTTCTAGGTGTGACAAGATTAGAAGAGTTGCCTGACAGGAAGGTGCAGAGTCCTTCTCAGATATTTCCTGAAAGATACTCTTTTGCACACTGTCCTGCATGAAATCTCTGTCATACAAATGTCTGTTGGGTTAGCTCATGGAAGTCAAGCTTTGTCTGCAGGACACACTGGTTAGAGGAAGGAGAGTAATTTTCCATCAGCATCTAAGTTGTCAGCCTGAATTATCCTCAGAGGAAAAAGTGGACCCTTTGATTGATATTCAGGGAGTCTGTCACAGGGGACAAACCTCATGGGCCTGGACTTTAGGGGATGGGATTGAGGGTGCTCCACAAGCAGAGTGTGGGGTCAGGGTCGGTGGGGTCAGCAGAGTGTGGGGGCAGGGTCGGTGGGGTCAGTGGAGTGTGGGGTCAGGGTCGGTGGGGTCAGCGGAGTGTGGGGGCAGGGTCGGTGGGGTCAGTGGAGTGTGGGGTCAGGGTCGGTGGGGTCAGCAGGGCTCTGCGGAGTGTGGAGTCAGGGTCGGTGGGGTCAGCGGAGTGTGGGGTCAGGATTGGTGGGGTCAGCAGGGCTCTGCGGAGTGTGGGGTCAGGGTCAATGGGGTCAGCAGGGCTCTGCGGACTGTGGGGTCATGGTTGGTGGGGTGGGGTTGAGCCGTGGGAGAAGTGAGCACTGCAATGTCCACTCTGGGCCAGGCCTGATCTAGTCTCTTCCTCCAGGACCCCGAGGGGCTGAGGGAGCTGCTAGAAGACTGCTGGGATGCAGACCCGGAAGCACGGCTGACGGCCAAGTGTGTGCAGCAGCGCCTGGCAGCCCTGGCTTACCCGCAGATGGCTTCTTCCTTACCAGAGCACTGTCCTTCAGCACCGGCCTCTGCCCCTCTCCCCTGCAGGCCTCAGCAGGCTTCCTGCCACCTCAGTGTTCAGCAAGGCCCTGGCTCCAGGAGTCCTCAGCCTGTCAGTACTAGTGTTCGTGTGTAAATGAGCAGTTTGTATGAACGCTTAATACAGCTAACATACGTGCGGTGACCACACACCTGTTGCTGTCATTCTCTGTGGGTTTTTAGCCCATGGGGTACACGTGCTCAGGAAAGAGTAAAGATTTCCCACTGTTGGCCTTGGGCTTGTCTCCTTTTTATTGCTCTTTTTCTCTAATGTGTATTTATTTATTTATTTATTTATCTTAAGATCTGTTTATTTTATTTATAGTATATATGTTTGTCTATGAGTTTATGTGCACCACATGCATGCAGGAACCCTTGGAGGCCAGATCCCATGGACATCCCATGGAACTGGAGTTACAGATAGTTGTGAACCACCATGTGGATGCCAGAAACAGGTCCTTTGTGAGAACAGTAATTGCTCTGAGACCCTAAACCATCTCTTCAGGCCTTTATTTATTATTTATTTATTTATTTTTAAATATTTATTTATTTATTTATTTATGCAATATTCTTTCTGTGTATGCCTGAAGGCCAGAAGAGGGCACCATTACAGATGGTTGTGAGCCACCATGTGGTTGCTGGGAATTGAACTCAGGACCTTTGGAAGAGCAGGCAATGCTCTTAACCGCTGAGCCATCTCTCCAGCCCCTATTATTTATTTATTTATTTATTTTGGTTTTTCGAGACAGGGTTTCTCTGTGGTTTTGGAGCCTCTCCTGGAACTAGCTCTTATAGACCAGGCTGGTCTCGAACTCACAGAGATCCGCCTGCCTCTGCCTCCCGAGTGCTGGGATTAAAGGCGTGCGCCACCACCGCCCGGCCTATTATTTATTTTTTGAGGCAGGGTCTTGCCTTGGCTCAATATGTAGTCCAGGCCCCTTGTTTGTTCCGGCTGCCCAGCTAGCTTACACCCGAAATAACCACACAGGAGCCATATTAATTAAAACATTGCTTGGCCATTAGCTCTAACTTCCTATTGGCTAACTCTTACATATTAGTTTAATCCATCTCCATTAATGTATGTATCGCCACGTGGCTGTGGCTTGCATCCATCTCAGGCAGAGGATCCATGGCTTCTCTGATTATGCCCTTCTTCCTCCCAGTGTTCAGTTCTGTTTTCTCCGCCTACCTAAGTTCCATCCTATCAACTAGGCCAATTCTTTATCCATTAACCAATGAAAGCAACACACAAACAGAAGGACCTCCTACACCACAGGCTAGTCTCAAACTTGCAACTATGCCCTTAACCTCAGTGTCTTAAGGATTGGGATTACAGGTCTGAGGCTCTAGCATGTATGTATGTATGTATGTATGTATGTATGTATTAGACAAAGTCTCACTATGGAACCCTGGCTGGCCTGGAGCTCACTTTGTAGATTTACAGAGATCCGTGCCTTTCTCAAGTGCAGGATTAAAGTTGTATGCCACCATGCCAGGCAGCAACACTTATTTTTAAAGATTTTATTTGTATTAATTATGTGTATGTGTGTGTCTGTGGTGTGTACACATGGGCACAGGGCCTGGAGAGGGCAAAGAAATTGGGTATTCCTAGAGCAGAAGTCATGAGTCACATGACATGGGTGCTGAGGAGTGAACTGGAGTAAATGCATTTTAACCTCTAAGCCAGCTCTCTGGGACCACCAGGATTAATTTTTAAATGGTGGCATCACCTGCTGGGTACTGGGGGAAGAGGAGTGATTCCAATGAAGTCATTGCCCTGAGAGTGCTCTCATGGTGGGGGGCACCGTGAAGCACAGGACGCTGGCACTGAAGCCTAGGCAGGAGTTTCCCAGGAGCGTCGGGAGCACTGAGACATTTCAGGGCTGTAAGGAGGAGTCTGCAGGTGAGTTACAGCAAACGTGTAGGGGTGGAGATGGAGATTTAGTGCACTGTCAAGTGTCAACAGAGCATATGCAAAGCCCTGGGTGCTATCCCTAGTGTGCTCACACTCCCAGGACCAGGGAAAGTGGAGGCGGGTGCTCACTGGGAGTCATAAGCAGGAGGATCAAAGGTTCAAAGTCAGAGACTGGAGAGAGATGGCTCAGTTACCAGGATTTAGTTCCCAGCACTTCTATTAGGAGGTTTAATTCCAGTTTCAGGGTACCTAATGCCTTCATCTGGCCTCACACACATTTGTGAAGCATTCCATATAATTTCAAAAGCGCTTCTTTTAAAATGTACTTGTTTTCCTTCGGATTCAATACATTAAGAGTAAAATTTCCATCAGGTGGTGGTGTCACACGCCTTTAATTCCAGCACTCAGAAGGTAGATGCAGGAGGATCTCTGTGAGTTTGAGGCCGGCCTGGTCTACAGAGTGAGTTCCAGGACAGCCAGGGCTACACAGAGAGACCCTGTCTCCAAAAATAAAAAATAAAATAAAAGAGTAAAATGTCCTTTTACCCTAATGTATTATTACTCAAGGCTCTCTAGCATAGTAGAACTTATAGGATATCTATCTATCTATCTATCTATCTATCTATCTATCTATCTATCCATCTATATATATATAGAGAGAGAGAGAAAGAGAATTGCTGCAGTTCATCAATGGCTGGCTGTGAACAGAAAGTCCGAGAATGTAGCAGTTGCTCAGTCTACGGGGCGGGACATCTCCGCTGGAATCTGGGAGAAGGGCTCTCAAGCCAGTGAAGGAATGTACTTGCATTGCAAGCAAGGCGAGGGCAAACAGGCAAAGAGCGAGAGCTTTCGTTTCCTCCACCCTCACTGTTTCCGTCAGGTGTGGCTGGCGCAGATTCAAGGTGAGACTTCTAACCTAGAAATTTGGATTAGACCTGGATCTACCTACTTCAAATTAAGCAAAAATCCCTCATAGATGTATCAATTTTTGGGTTTTAGTTAATTCCAGATGTAGTTGTTTTATACACAGAATCTCACATAGCCCAGGGTGGTCTCAAACTTCCCATGTAACTCCTGAGCCTTCAGCCTTCTCCGCCAAAGTGCTGGGATTACAGGTTTGGACCACCATACCTACTTTTTTTTTTCTCTCTATTTTCTTTTCTTTTTTTTTTTTTTTTTTGGTTTTTCGAGACAGGGTTTCACTGTGGCTTTGGAGCCTGTCCTGGAACTAGCTCTGTAGACCAGGCTGGTCTCGAACTCACAGAGATCCGCCTGCCTCTGCCTCCCGAGTGCTGGGATTAAAGGCGTGCGCCACCACAGCCCGGCTTTTTTCTCTCTATTTTCTTCTCCTTCTTTTTGATGATAATTTGATAAATCCCTTTATTTTATGCTTATTCCTTTCCTAAGCAAAACACTACTTTGTTTGTTTATTATTTTTTATTAAGAAACAAAGTCTCAGTCATAGCCTGGATTGCTGTGTAGTTCAGTAGTCCAGGTCAACCTCAATTTGAGATCCTCGTGCCTTATCCTCTCAACTTCTAGAGGTCAGAGTTGTGCATGTCAGAGGACAGTTTCCAGGAGTCTGTTCTCTCCTGTCCTGTGGGCTCTGGGGGTGGAACTGAGATTGTCTGACTTGGCAGTATGCGCCTTTACCTGTAGGTCATCTTGCCAGTCCCTTTCAGAATAACCTTTAAAATCTGGTTATACCAAGCTGGATGGTGATGGTGCACACCTTTAATTCCAGCACTTGGGAGGCAGAGACAGGCAGATCTCTGTGAGTTCGAGGCCAGCTTGGTCTACAGCGCAAGTTCTAGGACAGACTCCAAAACTACAGAGAAACCCTGTCTCCATAACCCAGCCCCCCCTTCCGCAAACAATATCTTGTCGTACTATTCTACTGCTCAGCCTGCTTGTGTTTTCTGTGACAGTTCTCTTGCCTCCCGTACATAAGAGGAAACTAAAGACTGGAAAAGGTCAGAATGTGTGTAAAGTCGCATCGTTTTAAAATAATGATGAAAGGGTTCCAGCCATTGAAAGTGTTTATGTGGCTGGAAAGAGGGCTCAGTAGTTAAGAGCAACAGCTGCCCTTCCAGAAGACCTAGGTTTAATTCCCAGCACCCACATGGCAGCTTACAACTTCTGTCCCAGGAGAATCTGATGCCCTTTTTTGACTTCTGAAGGCACTGCCTGCACATGGTGCACAGACACTCGTGCAGGCAAAACACCCACACACTGCTGGACTCGTTGGCGCACGCCTTTAATCCCAGCACTCGGGAGGCAGAGGCAGGTGGATCTCTGTGAGTTCAAGGCCAGCCTGGTCTACAGAATGAATTCTAGGACAGCTAGGGCTGTTACACAGAAAAACCCTGCATCAAAAAACCAAAATAATAATAATCGGGGATGAAGAGATGGCTGAGAGTTTAATAGTACCAGCTGCTCTTCCTGAGATCCTGAGTTCAATTCCCAGCAACCACATGGTGGCTCGCAGCCATTTATAATGAGATCTGGTGCTCTCTTATGGTCTGCAGGCATACATGCAGGACGAACACTGTGTACATAATAAATAAACAATTCTTTAAAAGAAAGAGAAAAGAAAACCCAAAACATGGTCTACAGAGCAAGTTCCAAACAACCGCACAGAGGACAGAGCAATGAAATGACAAGCAGGGGAGTTTTGTGAGAGGTTGGGAAATCTTCAAGAGTGTGTCTTTGCACCGGGCGGTGGTGGCGCACGCCTTTAATCCCAGCACTCGGGAGGCAGAGGCAGGCGGATCTCTGTGAGTTCGAGACCAGCCTGGTCTACAAGAGCTAGTTCCAGGACAGGCTCCAAAACCACAGAGAAACCCTGTCTCGAAAAACCAAAAAAAAAAAAAAAAAAAAAAAAAAAAAGAGTGTGTCTTTGCTTTTCCCAGGACGGCAATGTTGAGACTTGCGACTGAGCCCCCGGCAGCACCCTGCACCTCTTCCCCTCCTCTCCCCTCCCCTGCTCTCCCCTGCCCTTGCCCGAGTGTCTTTTTGTAGGTCTAGCTATCTTAGAACTTGATTTGTAGACCAAGCTCTCGAACTCACAGAGATCCGCCTGCTTCTGCCTCTGGAGCTCTGGGAGTAAAGGTGCGCACCACCACCGCTCTGCGGTGGCTTCAAACTCCACCAGAAGCTGCTACCTCTGGCCCTGAATTACGATTCTCCTCCACTTTCCAAGGTTACAGACAAGCGCTACTAAGCTAGGTTTGCACCTT